GTAGGAGAGCTTCGTGAACTGTAGATATTCTCCACTGCATGGAGCCAGCCTAGCATTATAGCTAGACCGGGGTGGGCGTCTCAGCCCTGCTGCCCCTCAGCACACCCCTGCACCTGTCCAAGCCTCAGCTTCCTCGTCTCTAAAATGGGATCATAGAGGGCAGTGTAGCTGGGTGGTTAGGGGGAGTGGGTTGGGGCCCCTTGGTTTCCATCCTGTCTTCCGTTGTTTACATGATTTATCTTTTCTGAGCCTCATTTGTACTTGGGGAGAGGATCTAGGGGTTGCTTCAGAGGACCGTGGTGAAGATAAAATCCAGTGGTGTCCACAAAGCCAAAAGGAACAGTTCATGTGGGCTCATCACYTGGACTCACCGGTGTCAACCCAGAGCTTTACAATGGCTTCCGCTCTGCCTGGCACCTAGTGTGGGCCCGTGTCAGCTCCTCGTGTCATCTTGGACACGGTTGCTGTATCTTTGGGCCATCGTAAAAGGACATCTGCTGTCCCCTCCTGGGCTTTGCCAGGATTAAAGCSCATCAATACATTTTTAATTTCCTCCATAATTTCAGGGTGTGGATGAGGCCGTGGGGTGACAGCCCACCTTTGGGGACGATGCATGGTGTCATTAAATCTGCATCGGGTTTCCTGTGGCCGCGGCTGGCCCAGCCTCTGACCAGGCTCAGACCTGGGAATCGCTCTTTTGCTCTGTGATCATGTCTAATGCCTGTGAATCCAGCGTCGTCTTAGCTTGGACTTCACCGTGTTGTTYGGCGCATCTCGGTGGATCTTGAAAAACACATAAATGTTGAAGTAAATTCAACCAGGGTCGCTCCTCTCTGCCTTCCGCCTGGGCGAGTGGCTGCAGCAAAGGAGGGAGGGAGGCACTTCCTGTGGACTCACGGGCTCCACATCCAGGCTCTGCCACTCAGCAGCAGGTCCTGGAGCAAAGGGCTGCTGACCAGGGAGCTCCAGCTTCCTCGTGTGCAGGGTGGGCGGTGACCTTGACCAGTGACCTGTAAGAAACACACAGCCCCGGGCGACTTGTGTGGAGCACTGCAGACAAAAACCAAGCAGATGCTTCACAGGGTAACCTGGCAGGGACRGGTGGGCTCCAGGCAGGGGACACTGTCCCAGCAGCTGGCTGGCTTACAAGTGAAGCAGCCACTTCCGACTCCACTCTCTGGCCTTGATGGCAGGAGTCAGCAAAGGAAAACGAGTCTTCAGATTTTTAAAATATGCCGGGCGTGGTGGCACACACCTGTCATCCCAGTGACTAGAGAGGCTGAGGCAGGAGGATCTCGAGTTCAAAGCCAGCCTCAGCCACAGCGAGGCCCTAAGCAACTCATGAAATCCTGTCTCTAAATTATATGCAAAATAGGCCTGGGGATGGGGCTCCGTGGTCGAGGGCCCTGGGTACCCCCCGCTAAAAAAACCCAAAACCCAGCATGGTGTCTATCATAAGCCACACTCATCGTCCGTGTGCCGTACATCACCTCTAGATCTCTTACGAAACCTCACACGATGTAAATGTGTGAACAGTCGAGACACCATGTTTTAGGACATGGTGACCATACAAAAGTCGGCCTGTGTTCAGATGCTGTGTTTTCCAAACACTCCAGTCGGTCTGTCGAACCCACGGATACAGAACCAGCCTCAAGGGCCTGAGTCATGAGCACCTGGACGGCTGTGTCCTTTGCTTTGCTTGGGGACCTGGGGCAGATGGAGCAAGAACAGCCACACTCAGGATGCGGAATAYGCCAGGGACACTTTCCTAATTCCTCACAGAGCCCTGTAAGCTAAGTCACCACCATGGCCACTCCAACCACCGAGCCAGGGGAGGCCTACGTGCTACCCGTCCTCCTGGCCCTGCCTGTCACCTGGAGTGGCACTTCCAGTATCTGTTCCCATATCATCATCTCCTCTTTCTCCTCCTCCTCCTCCTCCTCCTCC